ATTGGGAGGGGACATGAGAGGGAAGGGGAAAGGCACAGATGTGCTTCCAAAAGGGAGAGCAGGATGGGTCCTCTGACCTAAGGGTTTTAAGGGTGAAGATTTTGGGAGAAGTCCCAGGGCAAGATCTCAATAGAACAGTGGTTCTCAACCTTGGCTGCACATTAGTATCACCTGGGAATCTTTTTAAAATCCTGATTTCTGGGCCTCATCCTCCAGAAGTTCTGTTTCTTTGTTATGGGGTGAGGCCTCAACATTAGTAACAAAGAAACAGAATTTCCAGAGGATGAGGCCCAGAAATTATTATTTTAAAAAGATTCCCAGGTGATTCTAATGTGCAGCCAAGGTTGAGAACCACTGCAATAGAATATCAGCAGCTTCCCAGGTATGTCCTTTCAGGATTGTGGTCTCCACTGGTTGATTGGTCGGCACCAGGGCAGGGGTTCATTACTCAATGCAACTGGTCCTGAGGTTGCATTGTCTAGTTTTTCTGCTTTTCTGGGCCTGGACCTGAAATGTAACAGGCCTAGATGTTATCTCTAGGGAGGAAAGGTCAGGGAGTCTAAACTGAATGGCCAGAGATATGAAAGGTCAAGGGGGTCCAAAAAGCATGACCATCGATATTCGAGGGGAGGAAAGGTCCCCCTGGTTATGAGACCCGCCCTATAATTGTCCTTTGCTAGGCACCCAAGGCTTTCTACTCTGGTGACCTTCTGTACTTGGCCCATCATCCTTGCTCTGCTCATATCTGTCTATCACATCAGCTCAAGCAAGCAGTCAGGAAGGAAACAGGGTGACTTCCTCCTTCCTCTACCTGATGTTTGATTCAGGCCCTCAGTGGATTGGGTGATGCCAGCTCACCTTGGGGAGGGCAGTCTGCTTTCCTGAGTCCATTGATTCAGATGCCAATCTCACTCAGAAATACCCTCCAGATGCACCCAGAAATAATGAATAGCCAGATATCTGCGCATTCCTTAATCCAGCTAAGTTGACACACAGAATTAACTATCACAAATGCTGTCATTTAAAAGACTTCTGTATTAGTTTGCAGAACTTTCAGGAGCTTCCATAACAAAGTACTAGAAACCGGGGAGCTTTAACAACGGAAACGTATTGTTTCATAGTTCTGGAGGGTTGAAGTCTGAAATCCAGGTGTCAGCATAGTTGATGCCTTCTGAGGGCTGTGAAATGCTAAAGAGGGAACCACAGGCTTAAAATTTGCATCACGTGTGCTAAACCTAGGTTTAATACCTGACCTATTTGCTGTTTCAACCTTTCCCAGAAATATAATCTTAAGCAATCAGTCTGGGATTTTCTGATCAACACCAATGAGTTAATCTGTCACACAGGCTCTCTCCACCCACCTTATTCATCTTCTGATTCTCAGAACCAAGCATAGTGCTAGGCCCAAATATTTGAAAAATGAAGAAAGGAAGGAAAGAGGTGTGTGTGTGGTGGGGGGTCGGGGGGGAGGAATACTCTGCTTGCTTTAGATCTTCCCTGGAGACAAAAGTCATTGCATGCCATTTCCTTAGTTCAAAGCTTTGTATAAGTCCAAAACCACTGATTCTAAAAAATGTGGAAATCTTAATTTAAATATCCAGATCAGATGCCTGGTATAAATTCATCAGGTTGTGGACCAAAAAGGAGCCACATATTAAATCTGAAAGCTGAGGGGAGGCCTGCATGATGGCCCCTACAAATTCAGAGAGTGAAATAACCACCTACTATAGCCTGAACATAAAAATTCTTAACTAAAAGCAGGTCATGAAGGGTAGTCATGTCCTAGGCCTGCGGCTTCCTTGGCAAAAGTCAATCTTTACCTTAAGTGAGATGGTCAGCTGTCTTTTTGAATCTAAGATAACATATCTTTGAAATATCAGAGTAACCTTCTGTTCCTGACCCCTCCAGGGCACAGCCACAGCAGGAGACTACAGAATCCTTCATTGTTATCTTTTTAAAATTTTTATTTTATTTTTCAATTACGATTTATATTCAGTATTATTTTGTATTAGTTTCAAGTGTACAACATAATGCTTAGACAATCATGTACTTTACAAAGTGGTCCCTGATATTTCCAGTACTCACCTGGCACCAAACCTAATTACCTTTATTGTTACCTTGTCCAAACACCATCTCCATAATCCTTCTTATGTCTCCTTTTATTCTAATGTATAAAATAAGCTGCAAAACTGCCATTTTCCAGAGCAGTTTCTCAACCTGTTGAGATTTTGTATCCCAGCAATTATTATCAATTGGACTCAATTTTTAACTCATAAAAATTCTCTATAGGTTTGAATGTTTTCTTAAGTTAATAAGGGACAATATCCTACTTTATTTCGGTTTCTTAGACAACCTAGGGCTAAGGGTCTTACACTCTCATATATCAGGACTCTAACACAATTTTAGAACCAAATATCCAGGTTCTTCTTCAATTTGGTCTCTGACCCTGCTCTAGTTACTAGGTCATTTTGCCTTCTAAACTCTGACCTTGTCTACCTGAGGAACTGAATTCCCTGCATTGTCTGTGTCATGACAAATCTTGTTTTACTAGTTTATTTTGCAGACTCCCAGGGGAACTGAGGTGTTGGCTCATGCCTTGTGATGCCCCCTCCCCTGCTGACCATGTCTCACGGCTCCAATTGTTGGCCATATCCCATGACTCTACCTGCTGCTCATGAGTCAACCAAAACTACCATTTTTATCTCCCAACCCCACCTGTCCCATTGTCCCCCATCAGAAAATGAATGATGTAAGTTTATGTTCTTGTTGTCTAGCAACGCATCCCTTTGACTTTTGCTTTTTAAATCCTTGCCTCATCTCAAAGAGCATTTTCAGTTCATGCTGAAGGCCACGTTCTTTTATTTACAAATTATATCAGAAAAAAATTTGGTTTAATTGCTCAGAAGAGCCCTGTGGAACTTTGATTTACATGCATTAAATGTGATCTTGGAGATCTAGTTCTACCCTGACATTTTACAAGTAGGGGACCCTGTCCCAAAAGCACTGCCCACAGTCACATAGCCAGTGCCCTGATAAGTCAGGCCTAGAATGGCTTCTCTCCTCTACCATTGTATTCTTTATACTATGATGCTGCCCCTGCTCCTCACACAATAAGGGTGGGAGAGAGCAGATGACTACCCCCAATACCAGACCCTGCCAATGTTGCAAATCCTCATACAGGCCTCACTAAAATGGGGTGAGGGTGGGAAGTGAAGTCCATGGTCATTGTGAAGTAATCTCAGCCTTGAGGCTACTTAGTTGAGATCTTAACCTCATGGGACAGAAAACAGGTGGGTATCTTCATTCATGGCTTTGATGTGCTTAGAGAGAATACTTTCCCCAAATTACCCCTCGGGGTTGATGCTAATGCTTGCCAGCAAGCCCTCCTCCTCCTCCTCCTCCTAATCCTCCTTCTTCTTCTTATGGACTGAACAATGGAGAGCCTCGCTTGATTAGTAAAATGAATTATTTCTGGACCCCTTTGGGATTCCCAGGGAAAAAGTAAGCTCATTTCTAGAGTTATATAATAGCCATTACATAGGCCGGTTATAGAGTGCCAATGCCAGCATTTTACACACATCCTCCCACCTCATCCTCACAGCAACCCCAGGAGGTAAAGATTATTTTGCCTATTTTATAGAAGAGGATACAAACCTGAGTCTGTTTGACTCATAAGCCCATGATCTTAAAACCGTACTTATTAGAAAAGATGGGTTGTGGGGAAAAGGGGGGGTACGGTTTGCAGTGTCAAAAAAGGAAATAATATTATGAAAGTAGTATTTCACAGACTTCCGGAGTAAGGAATCAAAACTGAAACTAGAAAGTTGTTCTCTCTAGCTCTAGCTCTAGTTCTCTATCTCTATCTCCATCTCTGCCTTCAGTCTTCTCTTTCTTTTTGCAGAACGTGTCTCTACTTCCTCAGTTCTATTGTAGACTGAGGTTATATGCTACTGATCCATCTTCTGATGAAGACCCTTTTCAAGTTTCCAGGAGAGTCATATTGGTCCAGGTGACTCATGTTGAGTCGGGTGTCTTCTAATGTGCTTACTGGTTGGGGATCAGTACAAACATGGCAAGCAAGAACCACCCCTGTAAGCTGCAGGGCATGGAGAAAGGGGAGGGATGCTCGGGTGGATGAACACTAGAAAGGTATCCTCCCAGCTATACTACTTTCCTATAAGATGTTCAAGCATCTATTCATTTCAGAAATTTCAAGTTTAACATGACCTGTATTAACATAAGCTTTAATTGAGGAATGCGTAATAAAGATGTTAGATGCCCAAAAACAATTGCTTTAGGCAAAGAACATAGTAAACCTAGAATGTGGGGTAGCCAATTAAAGTGCACCAGGCCAGTTGCCTGATTTAAATATTTTTTTTTAGTTTCTATGG